AAAACCATCACTTTGATAGTCGTATCTGGCCCTTGCCCACCAGTCCGTTAACAGTAGCTCTCAATATCATGAGATATCCAACCAGTTCAGTCTCCCCCAGTTGTCTTATAAGTGGTTTTTACAGTCACCTACCGCTGTGGATTGCATTGTGTGTCCCCAGAGTTCATAGGTGGATGCCCTAACCCCCAGTGTGACGGTATTTGCAGGTGGGGCCTTGGCCGATCAGGTTGAGATGAGGTCATGAGGGTGGGGCCCCATGGCGGGATTCGTGCTCTTCTAAGAAGAGGCCAGAAAGCTTGCGTGTGAGGACACAGCGAGAAGGCAGCTGTCCGCAAGTGAGGAGAGTCCCCCTCAGAGCCCCACCTTGCTAGCACCCTGACCTTTGACATCCAGCCCTCGGAACGGTGAGAAACACATTTCTGTTGTGTCAGCTGCCCGGCCTGTGGTATTTTGTTACGGCAGCTCGAGCAGACTGATACGTACTTAATGAAATTTATTAATCTTTTTCTTTATGGTTCATGTTTTTGGGTCTAATGTAAGAAATGCTGCCTTGCTCCAAGATTCAAGGAAAAGGTGTTCGCCTTTATTTTCTTCCAACAGATGACTTTCGCTTTTCTACTCAGGTTTCTAACCATCTGGCAGGGCAGCGACGTGGCAGGTAGGGATCCACTGTGATCTCGTCGCATCTTACGCCCCTTCGTTGGCCAGTCCGTCTTTCCACCTCGGCTCTGCCTGTTCACTGTGGATCCGCCTGCCCCGTAGTGACCTCCAGAGCCTGGTCTGTTCTGCTGCATCTCGCTGCCAGCCTCAAACCACCATCCCGGACCTGGCTGGGGGCACATGGCCTCAAGGACCGTGTACAGTTCTCTGGTCCTTCACTTTCCCACTTCTTTTGCCCCCCCCCCCCCTTACCCTGACTGTTGACTCTGCTCTCAGTTTTCTGAGCAGATGCGCGGAGCGTCCTCGGCCCCCTGCCCCGATGTCATCCACCCCTCCTCCGCCTCCCCTCCTGGGACCGAGGAGGACCCGTCCACGCTTCCAAGGAAGATGGGTGGTCTCCTCCCTGGGCTGACCCCAGCCCCCCTCCCCTAGCTCACCTAGCTCTAGGGTTTGTGAGCAAACAGCTAAGAAAGAATTTTGGTGCTGAAAGGTGATCTTATTATAGCACGGGGACAGGCCCTGTGGGCAGAAAGAGCTGCCCTGGGGTTGTGAGGAGGGACTGGTTGTGTACTTTTAAGTAATTAGTGGTAGTTAGGGAGAGCGAAAGTCCCTAAGGAACTTGGAATCAAGGCTTTCAGGACCTTGAGGGGCTAGCTGCTGTTAAGATAAGGTTACTTTTAGGCTTTTTGTTTTTTTATGTTTATTCATTTATTTTGAGAGAGAGAGACAGCACACGCAGGGGAGGGGCAGAGAGAGAGAGAGAGAGAGTCAGTCAGTGCAGAGCCCAACGCGGGGCTCGAACTCGCACACTGTGAGATCCTATGACGTGAGCTGAAAGCAAGAGTCAGACGCTTAACCCAACTGAGCCACCCAGGCGCCCCAAGGTCACTTTTAGTCTTTAATAAAAGTGAACATTAAGGCACTAAGGCAGCGGTGAGTTCCTTGAGCAAGGTCACGCTCTTACGTGTCAGGTGTCAGTGGGCTGCAAGCTGTCAGGAAATTTAATTTAAGCTACATTTCTCTTGCCTTCGTGTCCCTCATCACCTGGCACCGTGGGTTGGGCTGGTTTTGCTTTGTTTTCCTCTGTGAGGCACCCGTTCTCATCCACCTGTAAATGTACTAACACTTCTTCCGTTAAAAAATAAAAAGACCTGTAGCTCCCCTTCCCTCTGTCTGCTCGCTCTCTCGGCCCCTCTTTCTGGTAAAAGCCTTGAAGAACTTCTGTGTTCACGCTGTCAGGTGCTCTCCTCTCATTTTCCCCGGAGCCCGCTTGCCGTCATGGCCACCAGACCTGTTCTCGTGGAGACCACCCTGACGTCCACGCTGCTGAGCCCTGTGGCCACCCCTCTTGCAGAATGCCTGTGTCTACAGTCTCCCTCCTTGAAAACTTGTCTTCATGTGGCTCCAGGCTCGTGAATGGGGGGTTCCTCCCTTCTGACTGTTTATTCTCAGGCTCACTCTTTCCCCAAAGCTTTTAATGGTGAAGGCCCCAGGGCTCGCTCGCTCTTCTAGATCCTTCTTCTTCCTTATCTCTTCTTATCTAATCATTCCTTTAATCATGCCATTCACGCTCGAGGTTTCCAATACTATGTACTGCTGATTCTCGTTATTTACAGTATAGTTGACTTTGAACAACATCGGAGTGGGGGGGGGGGGCGGTTAGGGGCATGGACCCCTGTGCAGTCAAAAAATCTGCATGTAACTTTTGACCCCCTCAGAAATGTAGTTCCTTATAGTCTGCTATTGATCGGAAGCTTTTCTGGTAACATAAACGGTTGATGAACACAGAGGGTGCATGCTCTGTGCGTTATACACTGTAGTCTTCCAATGAAGTGAGCTAGTGAAAAGAAAATGGTAAAAACATCATAAAAAAAGAGAAAATACATTTGCAGTCCTGTGCTGAATGTATTGAAAAAAAAAAAAATCCACGTGTAAGTGGACCGTGCAGTTCAAACCTGTGTGGTTCAAGGGTCAGCCATAGAACGTGGTTACGTTCTATAAAGTCACAGGGACACTGAACTAGCAAATACTGAACCATGGCTCCAAGAGGAAATACAGGTAGGGTTCTATGAGCCTCTGGTCATGTTTCTGTCGACTGATCAGTGCATAACCTAGTTTTTTGTGTGTTTCTGTGTAGAGACACCTCATTTAATACATAGGTGACTCATTAACATTGAACTCGCAGTCCACAGGTGTAATGTGTGCCTGAACTAAGCTTGTCTACTGCACACGTTATCTTTGTAGGCACATCATAGCCTTCGTGCCCTATTACTAGACAGCTCTTCACTACTGTGCATGGAGTCCATTCTTTAAACACCGCAATCACCACCAAAAAGCACAAAAATGCAAAAGATGTGGCGCTAAATAGAAAGCGAAAAGGATACTTGTTTACAGCGTGAGGGCTGATATGGGAAGGCAGGGCGTTGCCTTGTTCGACCTTGCCCGGGACCTTGCATGTGGGTGACTCAGATTTTTCAGTGCTTTACAAAAGTCCGTGGATGGTCGCAGTATTACTGCAAGTATTGATTTTGGAGTTGCAAATAAGTTTTGTGACTAGGCAACTTCACGTGCATGGAAGCGGCAAAAAATGAGGCTTGGCTGTGTAGGCTGACCATACTGTATCAAGTTTGTACTTCCGGCTTGGACCCCTGCCCCAAACTTGCTGTTCTGCGCGGTCCACGGAGCTTGTCGAGCAGACATTTCAGACTTCCCAGGCTCCGCATTTAAGTCCTGACCTCTTCAAACCTGCTCTTCCCAAGTGTCCTCCTTCTCATTTAAAGACAGTTGCTCAGGGGCGCCTGGGTGGTGCAGTCGGTTAAGCGTCCGACTTCAGCCAGGTCACGATCTCGCGGTCCGTGAGTTCGAGCCCCACGTCGGGCTCTGGGCTGATGGCTCGGAGCCTGGAGCCTGTTTCCGATTCTGTGTCTCCCTCTCTCTCTGCCCCTCCCCCGTTCATGCTCTGTCTCTCTCTGTCCCAAAAATAAATAAACGTTGAAAAAATAAAAATAAAAAAAAGACAGTTGCTCAGGCAAAACCCCTCATCCTCCTGTCTCCTCTTTGCCTCAGTTGGCTTTCCCTGCAAATTCTATCCAGACCCCAGCCACTGTCAGGGCCTTTATTGTCCCTCTTCAGTGGGTGGTGTTTTTTTGTTTTTGTTTTTTTTAATGTTTATTTTTTAGAGAGAGAGAGAGAGAGCACAAGCAGGGGAAGGGCAGAGAGAGGGAGACAGAGGTTCCAAAGCAGGCTCTGTGCTGACAGCAGCAAGCCTGTTGTGGGGCTTGAACCCACGAACCGCAAGATCATGACCTGAGCCGAAGCCTGACGCTCGACAGCCACCCAGCCGCCCCAGTGGGTGGCGTTTTTTGTCCCGGATTGGGAACGTCTTGCTCTGAGTAGATTTGCTTCTGCCCAAGGATTTCACTGCCCAGGGTCAGTTATTGGGTTAAATGTCATAGTCTAGGTATTCCTACTTTGAAAGGACAGTGGACATTTGGGGGGACATTTGGGGGGTTATTTTTACCTTCTCTGGGTTTTCTAATCACAGTCTTAGTCCTGGTCGGTAGAATTTTCTTTTTTTTCTTTTGTTATTGTTTTTTGTTTTTACGTTCCCCACTAAATATAAACCTTTTGGGGCTCTGACACTGCATGGGCCGTCAGCCATGGATCCCTATCTTGTGGGGTCCAGAGGCCTCACTGGACACATCCTAAGCATCGGGTGGTGTTAGAGCTCGTTCCTGGGTTTAGCCTTCTCCCCAGTATCCCTGGGCTCCCTCAGTGTCTGCTCATGCCAGGCTGATCCTGGCTTCAGTTCTCCTCTCCAATCCTGGCTAATCCAATCCTCTCCAATCCCTTCTTTTCCTATGAGTTCCCCATTTTAATTTTTATCCGTTGGTTACATTTACTTAGGTATTTTGAGTGTTTGTAATGGGAGTGGATTCCTGTTAGCTCTCATCGGCCACGTTGCTAAAATCCCAGGTTATCAGTGATTTCCTCCATAAATACCCGATATGTAGAGTTAAACTTAATTATTTTTTGTACTCTTTTTTTTAATGTTTATCTTATTTTTGAGAGAGACAGACAGAGAGAGAGAGAGCAGGGGAGAGGCAGAGAGAGCCAGAGACAGAATCCGAAGCGGGCTCCAGGCTCCGAGCTGTCAGCACAGAACCCAACGCGGGGCTTGAACCCACGAACCGCGAGATCGTGACCTGAGCTGAAGTCGGACGCTTAACCGACTGAGCCACCCAGGCGCCCCATTTTTTGTGCTCTTGGTTTTAATTTACTTACTGCTTACAATCTTTGGATTTGCACCATTCAGATCCTAATGCATGTTTCTCTCTCAGTAGCCCAACTTAAATATCTCCAATGGCTAACGAGGCTCATCCTTGTCCGTGTGACATTGGCCATAAGATAGAGTATGGAGGGATGGGGCGCGAAGTTCAAGTCGAGCACATCAAGGCTTATGTCACCAAACCCCCCTTCGACACGGGCAAGGCTGTGATCGTCATTCAAGACATATTTGGCTGGCAGTTGCCCAATAGCAGATACATGACTGACATGATCGCAGGAAATGGATACACGTATGTATGCAGTTCTATTTCTTCACTTCATGGAAACCTCTGTGATCTATCTTGATCCCTTCAGGGAAAACAAAACCACAACACCCTGACCGTGCGCTAAGCTGTCGACGTCCTTGTCTCGCTGGGCACAGGTAGATGGGGAATGTGAATCACACGAACCTAAAACAGCACCTGGAGGCCACCGCTCCCACCGCTCCCAGCCCAGTCCAGCCAGCAGGCTGCCCGGGGCTGGGGTTTCTGCTGCCCAACGGGGTCCTTTGGGTGGAGACAGAACACGAAAAATGAGCAAGGCCGCCCGTGATCTACAAAACCCCCTCACAGGCGTACAAGTCCTCTCTCCTTCAAAACGACCCCCTGAGGTTGGGCAGTGCAGGGTGCAGTCTCTTCTTCAGGTCAAGAAAATGAGGCTAAAAGTGGGTAAGCGACCTGTTAAGGTTACAGGGCCGACTGGGACTTGAACTTGGATTCTTCTGACCCAGGCTTCAGGGTTCCTTCGACGCCAGGAAGGAAGAGCTATGCTCCTCCATCCCTGGCGATGACCTTTATTTTCGGAAGCAGGTCTCTGGCCAAAGCCGCGTTGACCCACCCTCCGGGGTTGACGGGATGGGGAGGGGGGGGTGTTCGCGGACGCAGTGGACTGGCTTGTTTTCTCTGCGCGGCCCATTTCAGAACCTGCAGTAGACCTTCCCCTCCGGGCAGGGGGCGGGGGAAAACTGCTTAGTCATGGTGACTGGACATGCTCCCCAGACGTACCCTCTGACCTGAGGCTAACTCGAAAGGCCAGCTGAGGGTTGCGACTCCTCCAGGGGGCCGGGGACACCCCTGCGCTCACCACCCCGCCCCTCCCGGGCCCATGCCTCCCGGGTCTCCATCCTGTGCCATCAGTCTCATGGGGAGGGCGCCCTGTCCGACTGCCTCGTCATCTCGGATGGGCTGGGCTGCCGGCGGCCGTCAGAGGCCGTGCACCTACGCTTGTGAAATCCGAAGTGGTGTGGCCCGGTGCCAGCTGGCCTCTCGGATGTGATCAAAGCTGGCTCTCGTGGGCACCACTTTTCTTTTCCTCTGAAGCAGAATCTCCCTCGTAGCCCGGGTCTTAATGAGCGTCAGCAAATACTGAGTGCCGCCAGCTCCAAAGTGAAGGTCAGTTGACGTCCCTTTTTTGCAGAGCCATTCTTCCAGACTTCTTTGTGGGGCAAGAACCCTGGCAGCCTTCTGGGGACTGGTCCACCTTCCCGGACTGGTTGAAAACAAGAGACGCCAGAAAGATCGACAGGTAAGTTATCACCCGGGTTTGTGCTCCCCCTCCTCCCCGCCCCAGGGCCCCTGGAGAGCAGAGAAGCGCGTGTGACATCACCACTTGGGCGCCCACCCTCCCTCCCCTGCGGCAGGACTTCCATGGACACATGCTTTCGTGCAGCGCAGAGTGTGTCCCTGGAGGTGAGGTCCCGGCAAGGGCTCCTGCGGTGCCAGCAGGCTCGTCTGCTTCCCCCTTCCAGAAACTTCATGGCACTGAAGCCAGGGGAACTTTGCGGAGGTGCTGCTTTGCGGGCGGTACGATTTCCCTTGACGCGGGGGCATTCGGGGTCCACAGGGTGGACATTCCTTCCTTCCTGTCCTGGCTGCAGAACCAGTTGAGACAAGGGGAGAGAAAAGACGCCAGAGCCAACACCAGCCCCGGCTCCGTTACCGCTCAGCTGGTTGGAAACCCGAAGGGCCGTCTCCTGCCCCAAGCCGAGACCTGCCCCTACTTCCCCCCTCCACTTCTCCCCCCGAGACTTTGGGTCTTTACGCCAGGGCTAGACTGCCATCGTGCCAGGACCCGGGGAGCATTGAGAGGAAAAGCAGGGCATGCCCCAGGATCTCAGCCTTGTAGGAAATTAGCTCCAGGAGTTCAGAAGCAAGGACCAGACCTCCCAGCTGCCAGTCAGACACCCTCTTCTGTCTGGACTCAGTGTGGAGGGGGAGAGGGGCAGGATTGTTCTCTGATGCCCAGTTCCTCCTGAGCAAGTAAACGTGAGCCCAAGGCAAAGGAGCTTCCCCACCACCAGCCTTGACTCTCACCTTGGCCACTTGTCCTGAAAGCCATCCTTCCCTGTCACCTGACTTTCTCCCACCATGCACCTGAGCCTTGTTTTTTTTTTTTTGTTAAATTTTTTTCTTAACGTTTGTTTATTTTTGAGAGAGACAGAGACAGAATGCGAGTGGGTTAGGGGCAGAGAGAGAGGGAGACACAGAATCCGAAGCGGGCTCCAGGCTCCGAGCTGTCAGCACAGAGCCCGACGTGGGGCTCGAACTCACGAGCCGTGAGATCATGACCTGAGCCGAAGTCGGACGCTCAACCGACTGCGCCACCCAGGCGCCCCGAGCTTTGGTTTTGATGAACTGCTCCCCCAGCCCAGCTTGGCGGAACTAATAATGTGGTCCCCTGCCTGTGGCCGCTGGGTCCCTGGGACTGTCTGTTCTTTTCTTCTATCACCAGAGTGCCCTCCAGAGCTGGCCCCTCCTTCCACTGGGCTGGTGGACGCCAAGCAGACCTGTGCCCGTAGCCCCAAGGGGCCTTGGGTCCTGTTGAGTGCCCCTTCCTGCTTCCCTGGCCCTGCCTCACTCCCCGCACTCACTGGGCCACCTTCTTTTAGGGGCCTGTGCAGGGTGGCAGCGCGTTGTGGCTCAGGCCAGGGTCATCCTAGGGTCTCTGTGCAGCTTGTGGGGCGTGGGGGGTGCTGCCCGCTGCCTTGGGAGCTCCCGGCAGGCGTGGCCGAACACCCGGGGCCGTGTCAACAAAGTCGTCGTCCAGTCCCTCACTGTCCTTGGGATGGCCTCCGGATGTCAGCCGCCTTGTCTTTCTCTGCCCCATCCCGAGGAGTCTCCCTGGGATGAAGGCCTGGCTCCCCCACCTCAAGTCAGGGGCACCTCCAGGGGCCAGGGCGCTCCAGGCTCCCCTAGGGAACTGTCCGAGGCCGGCATGGAGATTGCCCCTGCCAGGTTCTCCCGAGCAGACCCCACTTCCTTCCCTTCTCTCCCGCAGTGCTGGCCCTGAGATTCCTGGAATAACTCCCCTGCATGCTTACCTTTCCCAAGTCCCTCCTGGGGGACCTGCAACCTCAACCTGAAACCCCAAGAAAAACAAAAGGAAGCAAGAAGTTCAGAGCAAATGAGAATTAGAAGCACAAGAGGCTGGGATGTGAATGCAGAAATTCAGCTTTGCATGTGGGGC